GGCTATTTGTTTGCACTTGTGCAGCCTGCCATCCATGCAGAAGAGCAGCTCCTACTGCCAGGAGCCCAAGACACACCCACTTGAGAACATATCACTCCTCCAAACAATTTATTTCTCTGATTCCAAATCTGCACAAATCTTCTTCCACCAGATTTGCAAACATGGCACTAACCCATCCCTCCAGGGACTGCTCACTTCATACAAACCTGGCCCCAAGTTGACTCTACACCTCCCTTACACACCTGCAATTCAGAAATAAGTGCAGCTCATCCTCCCCTCCATCACTGTACAACTGGCAGATTGAGTCCACGTCCACATGTCTCATCCTCAACCTCGCCCATGTTGGCAACACACCATCCATAAGTTGCCAAAAAATGCTTTTACTTTCGGGGGAATTCGCAGGTTCAATTATCGAGTCCATGGTAACCGCTCATTATTCTGCAACTCCCCAACCAATCTCCTATAACAACTCTTTACTGAATATTTCCATCTCAGCTCCCCAACCCACTAGAATTGTCTGCTACATCCCTTTTACTAAGTGGCATGCTCAATATAAGAGCATCTCCAATCCGTTAACTATTCACATGAAAAGAATTGCTACGTCATTCGTATATAATATTGGCGTAGAATTTTCGTTTCCAACGGAGCATGTCCACTCCTCGTGTATTGCTGACATGTTAAAAATTAATTTAGACACCGTTTGAGTCATTGTCATCATATAACATCGCCCTTCACAATGTGACTCAGCAAACGTGAGGGAGATAGTGCCGAAATTATAGAAAATCCAGGACCTTCTCCCACTGATAAACATATTTGCCAACCAAAAATGTATTCATCTCACCTTCCCCCTTTGGAGTAAACTTTTGGAAGTCCCCTTTGGAGTAAAGCTGCAGAGATCAACGAAGATCAACAAAGGTGATCAATTTCTCTAGTGGCCGGATGCAGTCAGTGGGTCATGATTGTTGAACTTTCCGTGGAAAATTGCAGCTGTTATGACAAAAAATTACCTGAATTTTGCAATTCGCTTTATCCAAGAATCCAACCAAAAACTACGAAACTTTGTTTAAAAGAAGTGAATTGATTGTCATCTCAAAAGTAGTAGGCGGATCCTGGAAGCATCTAGTATGATGTACTATTTTAATTTTAAAAATGGCTTACACATATAGGTGTTACATGGGCGGTTGACATTAGACATTGGACTTGATTTTCGGGTTTCAATGTCCTCCTAGATAACTTCAATATGAGGTGGATGACTATTCCTTTTATTGAATGCCATGTGTCAAAATTTATTCCATGTTAACGATGTAGCATTAAAGATGCTCTAACATCACTATCCCTAGCGGAAAATATCTCCCTAACTCTGGTTGTATTTCATTCTTTCCCGCTGATAGATAACAAGGCTGCTACGTTCATGTCCTTAACCCCCCGCGGCTTAGGAGAAGTCACTCTCCCTGTCCCAGTTTCCGTAGCCAAGCATCGTACCAAACTGATATATCTCTACAATTCCCAACTCTTCTTCTTGTACCAGTAACCATTACTTCTTTTGCAGCCATCACACTCTGCCAAATGAACGATGGATTATTTCCAATCCTTGCTTTGCAAAAGGATGAATCAGGAAAGTATATTGCTTTAAAAATCTACTCACCAATGCATTAGGCTCTAAAATCAATCTCGATGCTTGTTTGCCTAACATAGCCACATTAAAACTTCTTTAACCTCCTAAAACCTAGCCCCCATAAGCCTTTGGTTTGCACATAGCTTGCCACATTTTCCAACGAATATACCTATCAGTCATCTCCTTTCCCATCCACCAATAACCATTCGTTAACCTTTCAATCTCATTACACAACTCATCTGGTAACAAGAACACATTCATGGCATATGCGGGCATGGCCTGTATAACCGACTTTAATAAGATTTCTCTCCCTGCCCGCGAAAGGAATATGGTGTTCCAGCTTTGTAATCGTTTTATAATTCTCTCTTTAAGATAACAAAGCATCTCACATTTCCTTCGTCCTACAAGCGAAGACAACCCCAAATACTTCCTTGTGGCAGTTTCTTTATTCACCCTCAACACTGAACATAATATATCTCGGGTATTCTGGGCTACATTGGAATTGAACGACACACTAGACTTTTCATAATTTACCATTTGACCATACCTTGCTTCATATTGAGAAAGCAAATTTTTTACCACCTCACATTCCTTCTCATTTGCTTTAAAAAACAAAAAACTATTGTCAGCAAACAAAAGATGTGTTATCCGTGGCGCTGCTCTTGATACCGCCACCCAATGTAGCTCCCCCATCACCTCTTTTCTACGGATCATCGAGCTTAAACCCTCTTTCAGTAGGATAAACAAATATGGAGACAAGGGTCACCTTGTCTCAATCCCGGCTTAGAGAAAATAGGACCCAACACTGTCCTATGAAATGGAATAGTGTATGAGACTGAGGTAACACAAGCCATGACCACATTAACCCATTTAGCCACAAAACCCATATTGAGCATAATAGATCGGAGAAAATCCCACTCCACCCTATCATACGCTTTAGTCATATCAATTTTTAAAGTGATAAAACCCTCTTTTCCATACATTTTCCCCTACAAATAATGTTGTGCTTAATAAGCAATCATCCCATTGTCAATAATTGACCTTCCCAGAATAAAAGCACTTTGATTTTCAGATATTATATCATCAAATATACCTTTCATTCGATTAGCTATCAATTTAGAAAATATTTTATACTCCACATTACACAAAGCTATAGGCCTCTAGTCCCCCATCCCTTCTGGCTTATCATTTTCCCCTATTAACACTAAATTAGTGCAATTTAATTCGATAGGAATCATACCTTCTTCAAATGCCTGTTAACAAAACGCCACAACCTCCGGGCCCACAATCTTCTAAAAATTCTGAAAAAATCCAGGGTTCATTCCATCTGAACCAGACATCTTATCTGGATGCATAACAAATGTTGTTTTTCTAACCTTTTCAGGAGTAATCGGATGCAGTAATGCTTTGTTTTGAATTTCAGAGACCCTTTTATCTTCATCCAGTAATGCTCTTGTCACTACATTGTTTGCAGAAGAGTAAACACCTTCAAAATACTCTACTACGGAGTATCATATTACCCAGCACCTCTCTATCTGTCAGCCACTCTCTACGAGTGGACCTTAGACCCACCATGCATTTTATTCCTTCTTTTTCTCCGTTTAACCGAATTATGAAAGAAACATGTATTAATTATGTCTTCATATAAAAGTTTGTGCTTAATTTGAACGCTTTAAAAGCTCGTTTGGTAACTCATATTTTTAGCTCATCAGTCAAGTTTTTAAATGATTGTATTGATAACACAATTGAGTATTAGAAGCATGCAATTGAGTATCATAATATGCACGTAATATGTATATGCTACAACTCAATTTATTTATTTAACTATAATATCATTGTATTATCATCAGAATATTTATTGTGTTAATTTTATTATTTAATACCAATACTCATTTCTTGTAACCGGTATACTCATATCTTTTAGAATAAAATGCCCAGTTGTATCGTATGCACGATAGAATCGCGCGCTGTAAAAGTAGTTTTTTTAAATGGATTTTAATTTAGTACTGCACTACTATTGCCCCTCCTTCCCTTATACTTCTTCCGTCCCTGAAAATACTTCCAACTTTCCCTTTTACACATTTCTCTCCTCTCTGCACAACTCTCCACTACATAAAACTAACTTTCTTAATCCGTGTGTCATTTGTACTACGGAAATAAATTATGGGACAGAGGTAGTAACTCTTTTTTCTTTTACCAAAAAACTCTTTTTTCTTTTTAAATTACAGAGTACTTTTTTTTTTCCAATCACTTTCCTCGTGAGCAGAACTCCTCTGCAGAAAGAACTCAAACACTCCCATGTCCAAAGTCCCAGGCGGCGGCCAGGCCAGAGTCATTCACAGGACGGACACTGGTACAAAACTACGAGTCTAATTTCACTGGCGCTTTGCAGTCACCACGAGCGGTGGTAAGCTCTTCTTCTTCTAGCCAATCTCCCATTAACACTTGTAATTTCTTAACTTTTCCTGATTTTTTTGTTAGGGGATTATTGAATTGTGTTTTAAGGGTTTTTTCAATCCATGTTCAGAATACTTCATGGACAATTAGAATTTGTTGTATTCTACTGTATTAAATACTACGCGATTGATTCAATGGATGATTGGCAATTGGCAAAAGTCTTTTTTTCAAGATCTGCACTAAAAAATATATTACCTTCCTTGCGATTGACAAACCTGGGGCTACGTAGATCAAAACGATTGGAACAATAAATTTTGTATATACTTTTGTAGAATTACTTAAGCACCAATACTTGCCTACTTGGTGCTCTGTAAAATCAATTTGTTTCTATGAAAAGTTTGAGTTCTGTCTTTGCATGAAGAATGTTTCCACCAATTTGTGTCATTTTATCCTCCTAATTGTATATTGGAATTTGGATGCCTTGCACCATAATTCGACTAATAAGTTACTCTTCAATATTCCCTCCCTATCACTTTAAGTGTCTTGTATTCCTTTTTGGGTTGTATCAAATTAGTTGTCACATTTCATTTTGGGAAAAAAAATATACCCTAAAAGCAGCTAGAGTATAAAAAACTACGTGAAAAGCTTATTATCTTAAACTTTTTTTTTTATCCCGGAAGGCAAACCACCAAAATCAGTGGGGTAAATGCCGGGAGTCATTTACCGAGGTTTTATTAAAGAGATAATGAAAGTACATCAGAGAGGAGGACCAGACCAAAGCCTCTAAGAAAAATTACAAGAATCAAACAGGAAATAAAAATTCAGAAGAATCGAAATGAAGGAAGCCCAAAATAATCCATGAAATAGGCCCACTTTGCATAAATAGGAATAGAATCTGGGCCGGTTATGATTCGGAGGTGATCTACTACATCCTGCGCAAGCTAATGGGCCACCCAATTACCTTCTCGCCAAATATGTCTGAAGGAGAGCTTTTTGTTGTCGGCAATCAGTAGGGTTGCCTGAATTTCGTTTTTCCATTTGCGCACCTCAGTCCCCAACAAGAAGTTGCAGTGTACCCACAACAAACTTATTAAAAGCGCTCAAAAGCGCGATTAAGCGACAAAGCGCAGGTGAGCGCATCACCTGCGCCTGGCTTTTGAGAAGCGCTTGGGAGTGAGAAAGCGTCGCTTTACCGTCGCCTTTTCGGAGCTCGCTTGGGAGAAAAGCGTTCGCTTTTCATCGCTTCTCACAGAAAATGGTCATTTGACCAGTCAACTTTTTTTTAGATTTAGTTTTATCTGCCCGTCGCTACAACTTAGGGTTATCTAGGAGAGTCATTCGACACTTTCGACACTCTACACAGCCGCAGGCCCGCAGGTGAAGACTGAAGAAGTGGGAGGTGAAGAAGCCGCCGGTGAAGAAAGAGGCAGAGAGTTCACCTCTTCGCCCACACTTCCCTCCGGATAGAAATCGCCCACTCGCAGGTGAGCCGCAGGTTGTGTTTGGACTCTTTCATCAATAGTTTCTTTCCTTGTTTGATATCTTTCCTTGTATACGAAGTACTCTGTTTTTTTAGTTTGATATCCTTTGGTCTTTCCTTGTTACAGAGAACATCCTCTGTTTTTAAGTTTTTTTGTACCTTGTTTGTTCCTTGTTTGTAGAGAGTACCAGAAGGTTTTGTTTCAAAGAAGTGTTTCATGTTTATGGGTTAGTGTATGTTTTGGAACTTGAAGAATCCTTGTATCAAAAAATGGGAAGAACTAAACTTTGTATTTTTTTTCCCTCGTGATTTTTTTCGAGAAGGGTTTAGAATTTCATATACAACTGTGCTTCAGCGCTCTTGGAATTTAATTGCTTTCTCACTCAGCTTGAGTGTTAGCGGGACTTCTAATCTCCCCAGATGTTTTGTATTTTGAAGGGTAATTTTTATTTTAATTATTGAGTATAGTAATGCCAAAAGTTTATTCCTTTCACTTTATTGATTAATTAATTTTTTGTTCATTCCAATTTATGCCCCTTTTAGTTTATTGATTAATTAATTTTTAATTCATTCCAGTTTATTGCTTTTAGTTTATTGATTAAATAATTTTTACTTAATTACTTCATTTCAGTTTATTTCTTTCCTTTCATCTCATAACTAATTTTTAGTTTATTCCACTAAGTAATAAGGTCTCCATTGCTCTTTGTAGAAAAAAATGTCTGGAGAACAATCTAAAAGTCAGGATCCTGCATGGGAGCATGGGTTAAGGGTGACTTTTATGATTAGTTATGAAGGTTTTGAAACTTTATGCCACACTAGTATTATTTTGAATGACTTTTATGACTACTAATGCATTTTTGGCATAATTATACATTATATTACATATTTTCTTTTATTTTTTTAAACATCGCTTTTTGTGAGAAAGCTACGCTTCGCTTAGCGCTTTCGCTTTTAAGCAAAGCTCAAGGTCATCGCTTTTGGCCGCTTTTCTCTTTAAAAAAGTTTGCTATATTTAGTCTTTTGCATAACGCTTCTATTTTCCCAACTCCTGCGATCATTATCAAGCTTATTATAAAGGGAGAATTTGAGTTTGCACCCCATGTTTTGGGTGATATTTGACTTTGCACCCCATTTTTAAAATCATTAATGTATGCACCCCATTAGCCCAAAATTTGCGAAGGAGTGGGGTGCAAAGTTAAATGATTTTATAGTGAATTGGGGTGCATACATTAATGATTTTGAAAATAGGGTGCAAAGTCAAATATCACCCAAAACATGAGGTGCAAAGTCAAATTCTCCATATTATTAGAGTATAAAGTTATAAACCAATTGACATTGAAACCCACCTTCCCTCCCCCCTAGAGAGTCTATTTTTATATGGAGTATATGTTAGGAGTACTTTTTCTTTTGCAAGTTTTGATGGGGAAATTGGCAAAGCAAACTGCATCATTATATATAGAAGATATATGTAATAATGGGTTTGGTCCAGACTTGGTGCTTAAATTTACTGAGGGAAATGATTTAGACTGAATAGAAGTGGACTTATTGCAGTTCTGGTTGCTGATGTTCTTCTATTGGTGTACTTCCTATTATATAAATTTCTTATGTACTGTTGTTAATTGTCTATAAACTTTTGCAATTAAAAAGCATTTTTCTTAAATAAATAATTTGACACTAGCTTATCTACATATTTTGATATTTATATTATATTTCAGATCATAAAGTCAGAATAGGCATATATAATTGTGATTTCAGTTTACTTGGATGGCATTAGTCGTCATTTGTGGCCAACCTTGTAGTGGGAAGTCGACTGCGGCAGCCTGCTTAGCCGATGCTCTTAACAACACTGATTCCAAACCTTCCGTCAGAATAATTGATGAAACATCCTTTCATCTTAGTCGTAACCAAACCTATGCTGACATGATCGCTGAAAAGAACCTACGGGGAATTTTAAGGTCGGAAGTCGACAGATCTTTGTCAAGAGACAATGTTATCATCGTTGACTCCTTGAACAGCATAAAAGGTTACAGATATGAACTGTGGTGCTTGGCTCGAGCGGCCGGGATGAGATATTGTGTATTGCACTGTGATGTGGATGACAACATGTGCCAAACATGGAATAATGAACGTAAAGAGAAAGGTGAACCTGTGTATGATGATGTAATTTTTCAAGATCTGGTGAGAAGGTTTGAGAGGCCAGATAGCAGAAACAGATGGGATTCTCCATTGTTTGAGCTATGGCCGTCTAGAGATGGGATTGACAAATCTAACCAAGCTATTGTAGATGCTGTTCTGTATCTGACTAAAAGAGTTGACTCGAAAACAAGGGACGTCAAGATCTTACAGCCAACAATTGCGACACAAAGTGCTCGAGCATCAGAGGCTAATTCTCTATATGAGATGGACAAAGCGACTCAAGAAGTGATCAATGCTATTGTTGAAGCACAATCTAGTGCACTTGGGGGCTCAATCAATGGTGTATTTATAGGGACAGGGTTGCCTAGCGTTGATATTTCAAAACATGTTAGCTTGCCGGAGTTGCGAAGGCTTCGTCGGACCTTCATTAAGCTTACTGGGCAGACTAGCCTGAGTGGGCCACCCCCTCCTTCAGATGCTTGCAGCTCCAAGAGAATGTTTGTCGATTACTTAAATAGAGAACTGGGAAACAATTGAAGGAGATTAATCATGATGGTGATGGTGATTGTTCTTCAGCAGCAATGCATAATGGATGTCATTCCGAAGATGTATACCGCATACATGGAGGATTTTTATCTGGTAATTGGATTGTGCATTTTTTGTTTTGTATCAGAAACTTACTCAAACACGCACTTCAGGCACTAGTCATGAGTTACATTGAAGTCAATGTTGAGTAATTTACTAAATTGTTTTTCAGTTTGATCTTAGATGATGCTACTATGTGTGTCTAAGATCATTTCCACCTGTTTTTCTCTCAAATGATTGTCTGCAATAGGTCCTACTTTTGCAAGGCGCATTTGAAGAGTTTTCTTTCCACTTGTAGGCATGGTTGTCATGGCGGTAAGTCGAGGCATGGCGTCAGCCAACCGCCTTATCGCCTAGGTGACAATTAGGCCACTAGTCGCACCATATTTAATATTTAAATATGTAAAAAAAATAAATTTAACTGCATCACTAGCTTGTAATATATTACATATTATTTAGTACATTTTAAATTAGGGGAAAATAATTAAAATACCCCAAACTTCGAAGGGGTGTGAGATAAACACCCTAACTTTCATATGTAATTTAAATACCCCAAACTTTATATAAAAAGTTATTTTAACACCATGGTTATGTGTAATTTCTTTCAAAAATGTAAATTTATGGTGTTAAATGCATAATTTAAAATAGAAAATTGAAAACATTATAATTATATATAGTGGTGGGTAATACTATTTATTTTACAATGGAAGCTTAGAATGTTAATTGTATCTTTATGAATGCTAAATTTATCAAGCTTGAAAGAAATTATTCATGACCATGGTGCTAGAATAACTTTTTATATAAAGTTTGGGGTATTTAAATTACATATTTAAGTTTGGAGTGTTTATCTCACACCCCTTCAAAGTTTGGGGTATTTTAATTATTTTCCCCTTTAAATTATACATTACCTGGTGTTGGAAGTTGGAACCAATGATTAATAATTCAAAACAGGGTTTACTAAATCAAAACCAGAGTAAATCAGAATTTGAAAAAAAATATCTAAATAATTAAATCCAACATAAAAAATTGTAAAGCGGCATACATCAATACAAGTATACAACATATACTGAGCATATAATTACACTAATAAGGACCTGCAATATATTATGCTAAGGAACAACAAACTTTCAGTCGAGGAAAAGCTGAGGAAAAAATGGGAAAACGTCGATAGAAGACCGGTAGCACCTGTGGAATTTCAATAAATGATTTGCAATTCTCCTGGACTTCGACTTGAATTCTTAAACTCATCGGACATCTTTTGAGTTTTAGCTGGACTTGGACTGCGATTTTAATTCTGAAACTCATCGGACATCTTTGACTGGAGTTCGACAAAAGCTTTATATTTAGTTTAGAAATCTTTGTTGGGTTGGGTTTAGTCGGTTTTAATCTTCAAATCTGGTGTCGGCGTGTCGCATTTTTGCCTAACCTACGCCATCTATGCCTGGATGCTTATGCACTCGCCTAATCTTCTTCAGGTGAGGCGATGACGCTTGTCGACCACTTTCCACGCTTGCCGACTAGGGGACGCCATAATGACTATGCTAGTAGGTCCTACTATTTAACAATTACAATTATAATACATTTCTTATAATGTTTATTCCTTACTCTGATACAATTATTGTGACGATGATACTTTTAATCCGTCTATCTATTGTGGAAAATTTCAAATTTTACTATTAAGTGTCGATGTCACAATAGTCGAAGATTAACTGTGGAACAATTCAAAGACATGTACCAAAATTGTCTCTAAACAGAAATATAGAAAGAGGACTAAACATGAAAGAAATTCAAGATAGATACCACAAATGTGATACAGACAAAAAATGGCATTTCCATAATACTCAGGAGAATTGAAAGTGGAGCAAAACTGTTCATTACTTCCTTTTAATTCTATGGACTTTAGAGTTCTTCAAGTGTCTAGGAGATGGTCAACCTTATTCTCAGATGCGTAGACGAGAAGAGTTTGACATCTTGTGGTCAGCAGAGTTAATGCATTGTTATATTGTAATGTAATGGATTCGATTACCTAATTAAATGATGTTTCAACATAAAATTTTAATATGGTAGTTGGATTAAACATTTATTTTATTAATATTCTGTATTTATATTCTGTATTATATAAACATACAATCATACATTGTTGGTTTTATTATAGTTCAAAGCCAACAATAAAACCGCAAGCGAACTATGTATGCTTAGCTCCTTTCATCTCCAGTCCAAATGTCTTTTCCCTTGGGACCAATTGGTCCTTCTTGGCCCAAAGCCTCAGCAGGAAGGATTCCAACAACTTTATCCATTGCAGCTTTTAGTTTTCCGGGCAAAGCATTCTCCACCTTGCTAAGCTCTGTCCCCACATTGTTTTTTATCTTCGGGCCCCATTTTCCTGTATAGTTCAACCACGCTGGCTCGACAACATCTTTAGTGCCCAAGTACTCTGCCGAAACTATAGAAAAACTAGCTCCGGTGTCAATAAAGATTTTCCCTTTGTCTGTATCGTTCCTTAGTCCTATGTTCTTTGTTCCTTGTAAAACATCTCCAGCTTTAGGATAAGCTGCGTGCCCGTTAAGCGATGAGTAAGTGACAGGCTTGTTGCCGTTCTGGAATTCAACTTGAGAGCCTTTGATCCATGTTCCTGTATTGTGCTGTGAGAAGTACACCTTTTTTAGCTCACCGGTAAAGTTGCTAATCCTGAGTGTCACATGTTCCCAATCTCCAATGTGTTCTCCTAGAGTTCCGAGGTTAACTGTGATGAATTCGACTTTGGCACGAGCAGGTCCGTTGAAGGGGTAAAACACCCAGAAAACTAAATCGGTATACGTAGAACCAAACATCGGTTTCACGTGGATGTAACTAGTAAAATCTCGGAGGTTTCCTTTCTTCACTCTTTCCTTTTCTGCTTCACTGGTTGGAAGGTCGAGCCAGTATGAATCATTGTTGGAACTGCCTTGGGGGAGGTTTGCACCGGTTGGTTTGACCGCAACCGGTGAAGATTCCTTTCCTCCGGTGTAGAGCAATGCACCATTCTTGAAGAACCAAGTGACGGAAGAAGGGAAGTATTCCTCTTTGGAGTCAAAGTAAATGAACGGGGAGTAGACCTTGATGAGTTCTTTTATTTGGTCTAGATTAGGCATTGCAGATTTGTTGAGCTTGTTGACATTCTTCAAACAAGATAGTACAGATGATGACAACTCTGTACCTCCACTGGACAGTTGAGCCATAAACGTGCCTGTGCTTAAGCCCAAGGCTTGGATTCCTCTAACTTTTGGTCTTGTTGAGTACACATTCAATCCTTTCGAGCCCCAAACCCATTCATCGTTTTCAGCAATGTCTGTGAAATCATCACGCACACAACTGATTTTGTCCAACGCAGGCTTCTGAGAGTCGATTGTGACAACATAACCAACCGCTTTATACCCGCTAGGAGCCACAGGCAACCAGAAGTAAGCTGTTGTGTTGTCCTTAATGTTCCATAGTTGGGTGTAGTCAAGTGGCGCCTTCAGGGCTCCAGCAGAGCTACCATCAGGGGTTGTGTCTTTTGCCACTAGAACTGACCCGAAAAGGGGCATGTTATTTGGTTGTGCATAGTATCCAAGTAAGGAAAAGCCATCTGGAATGATGGATGGCTCAAAAAATGTGGCGCCATTGCCCGAAGGTCCACCTTCTTTGGTCTCAAAGACTTTAGTAAAGGTCGATACTTCTGACACTAACAACCCTCCAAGATCAATCATCCCTTTCCCGAAACCATCGCCTGTTGGCCATGCAGGTAAGGAACCAGGCAGACGGAAGGCACTTTCAATTGGCATGGATGACATCTTAGACTTTCAGACACCAGCACTCCAAGAAATCGACGTATTAAAGCTAAATTTCTGTGGCTAATGTTTCAAACTGAATGAGGGAACCAAGAAAGAGATCCTGCAAAGAAATAATGTACCAAGAGTATGATTCTAATTAAGTAGGTAGCTGATTGTTTATAAACATGCATGAATGTGCATTCTCGTTTTTCTTAAATTATAGCAAATTCATTAATCCGATCTGCTGTCAATATATACATTATACAATATATGTTGGTTCTTTATAATCAATTACTCCGTGTTATGCCTGTTCAGGAATGGATTCAATTGAAGGGACATTGCATTATTTTTGGTCGTTTAAGTTGGCAAAACCAGTCTTCCGTTAGAACTCTTAGCAATCAGAGTAATATCTTTCTAAATGTCTATAATATTATTTAGACCTTAAACTATAGGAAATTGCAAAATTGTGAGGAGATACTACTCAAATTTCAAATTAGATACCTAGTGACTTGTCAAAATGCTATGAATCATACTACATTATTGTAGAGTTGTTGGTTCCATAAAAATCGCCACCTTGTTCTTATAATCGAATTTTAATTTATTTTGTGCTAACATTTTTCGAAATGTTAATATATATATATATAAGAGGAACTTTTTAAGAGCATACAAAGCGTCACATGATCCTGTCATTCATTATATATAACAATTATTTACTTATTTTTATACCTTTTGTGTTTATTAGATTCTATTTTTGATTGCATATTGATATGGAAACAAAAATCCTTATAAATCCACCTTAATTAATTTGGTAAGCTTCAAATAAGTAAAATAATTTTTGGTTATCAAAGTGAAATTCTAATAACGTTTATTGATATGGAAACTAACTAGGTTTCAAGCCCGTGCGATGCACGGGTAGTATATAATTTAGCTAATGTTAAATTTGATTTTTTTTCAGAATCATATATAATGTGATGCAAAAGTAAAATAAAATCGGTTTGAATATAGAGTTCGCTTGATAATACTAAAATTGGTAGAATCGACTTATTTTACTGAAATTGATTAAATTCTGGCTGATTGGGCTAAATAGGAGGAATCTCCTAAATCATGAAAAACATTTGTAAAATAAAGAAACAATTATATGAAAAAAATTAATATGTTCTTCTACACAAGCATATCAACTAAACATAATTGTTGTGAACCCGATTTTAAAGTATTCACAAAGAAGCTTCTTAATTATCTCACGCCCTCTAAATTACTTTATTATGCACTTCATTTTTTTTCCATATTACTCATTCAGCTTGGTATGAAATATGGAATACATACTTTTAAGATCTTACATTTTACTCATTATTTCGTCACATTGAAAATGTTAAAAAAATGGAGTTTTTTTTTTACATTTTACTCATTATTTCGTCACATTAAAAACTATTATTAATTGTTTTAACTTCTGTTTTACATTTTATGTGTCCTATTATTATTATTATTATTAAAGTTTGATCTGGTTTGATCTAGATTGAGAATGAAATCAATCTAATTAAAAACTTCCCAAGAGTATAACTAAATTACGAATTTGTAAACATACAAAGATTTTCTAATTTGGATTAGGAATCTGTTTCAAAAGTGATAGCATATTTA